ATACATACCCCCATTTTATAGAAGGGAAGACTGAGGCTCTGTATGGTCATGTTGGCCTGCCCAGGGTGACAGCCAGGGAGGGGGGCAGCTGGGGTCAGTGCAGGCTGCCCCCCCTTCCTGCTCACCCACCCAGCCGCGGACCGAGGCCAAAGACAAACCTAGGACAAGCTTCCGAGGAGGCTGCTGAGGGAGCAAAGGTGTGGCCCCCTCCCGACAGCCTCTGCCCCTCCCCACCCCCAAGTCACGGGTCTGCCTCTGAGACCCGGAAGGACTAAGCCAGCAGCTGTTGGTCCCCACACCTGTCAGGCATTGTACCAGAAGCTTTCTCCACTTCACTGGGTTCTACATGATGCCTCCTGAGACCAGGCTCCAAATTAGTCGTGAACACAGAGGCTTCTCAGAGCTCAGTCAGCTCTCAAGGTCACACAGCTGCCCCTGGACGGTGGGTGGGTTCCAAACCCGGCCCTGCCGGCCTCCGTCCTAGTTCCTCCAGGCCTCGTGTACCTGGGGGCAGATCAGGACTGTACCCGGAGGGATTATAGAGGCGGGATCACAGCGACTGCCAGGGCAGACCCGAGGAAGCCACGTCCCTCCACTGTGAACGTGAGTTCTGTGTTCATGTTACCGGTAATCGTTCTTTTCTTCCCAGCAAGGCTCCCCAGGCTGGGATTTCATTATCCCGGGGGGATTAAGTAGTCACGGCCCCATGTGATTGATCCTTTACCACTTGACTTTATGTTTTACGTTATTATTATCATCGCAGTCAGAGACTTGTTAAATGAAATGTTACAGCCGATCCAGAAATCGTAGAGAAATGAGCCTGCTGCCTTCAGGGTTAGGTCTGGAGTGTGGTAGTTCGTGTCTCTCTCCGTTTCTCTCTCTCTTTTAAGTTTTTTTTTTTTTAATAGACTTTATTTCTTAGAGCAGTTTTCAGTTTATAGAAAAATTGAACAGAAAGTAAGGAGTTCCCATATACACCCCACCCCAAATCCCCAGTTTCCCCGTTGGCATCTGCTGTTGTATTGTTGTGATGTGTGTGTGTGCTCCATTTGTTACGACGGACGAACCAGTTTTGATATATTATTATTAACTAGAGTGCACGGTTTACATCAGGGGTCGCTCTTGGTGTTGAGTGTTCTCTGGGTTTGGACCAGCGTATAACGACGTGTATTCACCCCTGTGTGCCACCTACTTATCCCTCCCTCCCCACCCCTCACAACCGATGATCTTTTACGGTCTCTGCGGTTTTGCCTTTTTTGATGACGTCATAGGGTTGGAGTCACGCAGTGTGCGGCCTTTTCAGACTGGCTTCTGTCACTTAGCAGCATGCATCTGAGGTGCCTTCAGATGGCTTCATAGCTCACGTCTTGATAGTTCTTGATGTAATGTGGTCTGGCCAGAACTGTCGCATCCCTGTCTAGGGGCCCACCCCTGTCCTGTCCTGCCACGTGAGGGTCCCGATCCCTCCTTGTTGCAGTCACGTACCAGCTGGGCCGCCGCTCCTTGGCCCCAGTCCACTCGCCGGGCGGCAGTGACCACAGCGCTTGGTCTGCCGGCTGCCGTGAGCACCAGTCCCCTTTGCAAAGCACCCAATCAGGCAGCTGCAGGAGGTTCGAGGAGTAAGTCCATCCTGAGGGGTAATAAGGCCCACGCCTCAAATCCACAGGATTCTCAGGCTGTGATCCCAGGGCCAAGGGGGCAGATGCGGGTTGGAGGGAACACCTGCGCGGGTGGTACCTGCACAGACAGGCCCCCTCTGTGCAGTGTCTACTTCCCACCACCAGGGGGCAGCACCCTGCTCTCTCGCCCTGCCACCAGAGGCCCCAGCAGGTTGTGGAGGTCGCGCCAGGCGGGCAGAGTTGGTGCTTCCATAAAAACGATCCTCCTAAAGCAGCTTTCACCCCAAATCAAACAGCACTTCCAGTAACCAGGAAACTGGTGATGTCAGGCCGTGTATCCTTGAAAATGACAATGGCTATTGTGTATTGAGCGTTTATGGTCTGCCGGACCCTGGGCTGCTTGCTAGACAAACATTTCTTTCCATGGTCCTAGCATCCCCTGGGGTAGATGCTGTGAGCAGGGGGCGGATGGCAGATGGACAGACGGTTGGGAGTTCCAGGTTACTGCATGTAGGAGGTGAAGCTGGGCTGCACCCGGCCGTCTGCGCCCAGGGCTCTGACACCGATCCCCCACCACGACCACGTGGGTGGTGGGTAGACCTTGCCTGGCTATCCATGGAGACATGAGGCACATGGTCCTTTGTATGCGTAATGGATGAAAAGATAATAGTGTTGAAGATCTTTGCGGCCACGCCCTCAAATCCTGATTTAGCCTCAGTGTGGACAGGGTGACTCAGGGCCCCATCAGCCCCATGTGAGCCCTGGGGCTGCCCTTGCACAGCCATGAGCCGGCTCCGCCTGAGGTTTCAAACTTCAAGTCCAATGGCTCGTTCCGCACAGGGAGTCCTAAATTCTAGCCCAGGACATCCTTGCTCTCTGCCCCCTTTTACCAATTTTACTAAGTACTGGATGAGGCAGTTTCTGTGATCATCGTATGTTGGTGCTTAAATCAGAGTGGAAATGTCAGCACAGCTCCCAGGACGGCAGACAGAGCTCTGGGGCCCTCGCTGGGCTCTGCACGGTCCAGTCTGCCGTCTGGTCCTGACGCCCTTGGAAACACAGGCAGGCCTTGACCCTGGGCCTGGGGTACTAAGGGCGACACCAAATGATTTTTTTGTGCCCATTGTCTCCTTTTTGGCACCTGTGTCTCCAGGCTGTGTGGCTTTTGTCCCCAGACAGCTGACACCTGCTACCCTTGGGGTCTTCAGAGCCTCCTCCTGGAAGGCCTGATGTTCCCAGCGTGGCCCAGGCCCTCCTCCACGGTCAAACTCCCCACCGCGGATGGGACCCAGAGGAGGGAGCCCTGTGCTGCAGAAGCGGGGCTCCGGGGACGGGACGGGGTCTGGTGGGCCTGGGGGGCAGGCTGGAAACTGGATGGAGAAATGTCCTCCTGTCTGACAGCCACCTCCTCCGTTTTTACAAGAATGAGGAGACCTTCTGGGGCTGATACTCAATCAGTGCTGGTGTTCAGCGATTATGTAAATGTGTGTGTGTGCATGTGTGCATGTCTGTCTCTGTGTGTGTGTCTGTGTGTATTTGTGTGTCTGTGTGTGTATCTGTATGTCTGTGTGTGTATCTGTATGTCTGTGTATGTGTGTATGTCTGTCTGTGTAGGTGCATATGTATAGTTGTGTCTGTGTATGTATGTGTTTGTGTGTGTGTGTATCTGTGTGTGTGTATGTATGTGTATCTGTGTCTCTGTGAAAGTGTATCTGTGTGTATACGTGTGTGTGTCTCGTGTGTATGTATGTGTATCTGTGTGTGTACGTGTATGTATGTCTATGTGTATGTGTGTCTGTGTGTCTCTTTGTGTATGTGTATGTGTCTCTTTGTGTATGTATGTATGTGTGTCTCTGTGTGTATGTGTGTCTCTGTGTGTATGTACGTGTATATCTTTGTGTCTCTGCGTGTGTATTGTGTGTGTGTGTGTGTGTGTGTATGAATACGCTTAACTCTCCAATGAAGTGTGGTGTATCTGGGTCATCCCAGGTGGCGGGTGTCTTCTGGGCCCGCATCACCTCCCCTGGGCCCCCCTGTGGCTCCAGCGGTGTACAGGTGGGTGGTGCACCTGGGCCTGCGGACTCCCTGCCTCAGGTGCCCGCGGCTCCCTGGCTCTTTCAGCCTCTGCAGAAACCTCAGAACTCATTCAGCCCAGGAAAGGGAGACAGGCGTTCCAGCTTTGGGGCCCCGGCCCCCTTCCTTCTGAGGGACACCCTGGAGGGGCTCCAAGGGGGTGTCCAGCTCAAAGCATGCCATCACTGCCCCCACTCCTTCCTGCCACCCGGGGTCCCCTAGGTGCACCACCTGCACCCCGCCCTTGCCTCAGCCTCAGGTCAGTGACCCCAGACCAAGAAGGGAGCGCGGGACTGGAAGATGTGGATCTAAGCGGAGACCCGCGCTTGTGAAAGGCGAAGGCTATTTGCTCAGAGCTGGCTGGGCGGGGGGTCAGCCTTCGTCACGTGCCTGGCGGAGACCCAGAGGCAGGCAGAGGAGTGGGCGAGCTTCCCAGTGGAGAAAAGGGGGCTCAGGGGCCTCTGATGGGGGCTGGGGGGCTGCTACAAGGGGTGTCCCAGGTGACTGGCCAGAGGCAGGCTGCGCCTTCTTGGGCTGGTCCTGAGTGGGGGGTGGATCGGGCTGCTGGGGCCCCGTCGTGGGCTGTGCTCTCTGCCTGCGGCTCTACCGCCTCCTTGTGCTGGGACAGAGCTGGTCCCCAGCCCCTAGGCATCCCCCTACCACAGCTCTGCCGCTTGGCTTGCAGCTGGTACTCACCTGGCTGCCGCCACTCCTGGGCTGGAGCTCCCCGAGCACAGACCCGCGGTGGGCCCCAGCGTCCTGCACGCCGGCCTCCGCGGGCACCTTTGGAGGATGTGGGTGACGGCCCTGCCCAGACCCCAGGAGCCCTACAGTTGGGCCCTTTGACCATCCACCTGACCTGTCCCTCTGGGGGTCTCCAGTGCCTCCTCAGCCATCCTAGGTCATGGCTGGCTCTAAGGGGGACAGTGACAATATTCAGGTCCCTGTCCCCAGGGCACAGAGGGGATTCAAAGCGAGCTCACAGGAGGATGTGGTTATTGCACTCTCAGGAGAGAGGACCTGGGTCCCTGGCTGCAGAAGGACTGGCCAGCTCACCAGACCCCTGAGGGCCACGGTCGTGCCAGGTCAAGGCCGCAGGGGGATTGGCTGCCCTTTGGGAGGTGGGCACACAGAGGTGGGGGACAGGACCGCTGTCGGGGTCTCACATTACCTGACCTCCGCTGGTCCCCCGAAGCCCTGTGGGTTGTGCTGGGAGATGCGTTGGGCCCCGAGTCCTCACACGGTCGCTGGTTTGCTCACCGGTGCCCGGCGTGTCCCATTTTCTAACACAGCACCTTTTCCCCACAGTGTCGGAGCCCCAGGCTGCCCGCAGTGCCCCGGAGAAGCCGGCCAGCACGGCGATCCTGTGTAACACCTGCGGGAACGTGTGCAGGGGGGAGGTGCTACGGGTGCAGAGCAAGTACTTCCACATCCAGTGCTTCGTCTGCAAAGGTGAGTGCCGACCCGTGTCCGCGATGGGGCCAGGCGCAGCCCTGCCGTATGGCCGAGCCTGCCTCCCAGCTGCCACGCTGGGCCCCAGAAGCTCGTTAGATCTGGGATGCTGGAAAAACCGATCCCAAACCTTCATACAACAGCGTGATCTTTTCAGCGTGGCCCGTGTCCCCTATGGGGGTGACGGGGGCATCTGCCCAAGGGGGAAGGTCAGAGGACGAGGTCCAGGTCCCGGGCAGTGTCCTCGGATGGCCGTAGCCATGTCCGTGATCCACTGGCCAGAGCAAAGTGGCCACTTGGGCCCCGTAGCCACACGGTAAATGGCCGTCACTGGTGGCGTGAACTCAGCACTGCAGGGCGCGCAGGACCTAAGCTGGGCCACGAACCTCGGGCGCCCCTGCAGCCTCCCAGAGCGGGACTGGGAACGTTACTGTTCACTCCAAATGAACACGGCTTTTTCTCTGATTATAAAAAATAACATGAATATCACTAAATTCAGATAATACCAAAAAGATAAGAAGAACGTAAAACAAATCACGTGAAATCCCTCTATCTGAGCCAGGCTTTGCTCGGAGCATCCTTCCAGCCTAACCTTTCTCCCTACGCTCAAGTTACTACATATTCTGTCGTGCACAATGGGGTTTCGTGTATTTGCATTTAGTTTCCTGAGAATAAATGAAAAGTAGCATTTTGGGGAAGGGATGGGCAGATCAAACCAATTTGACACAGTGTCCAAACCCAAAGAATTGGCAGCTTTAAAGAAAGGATTCTTTTAATGGCCCTGCAAACCCCTCCTTCCTTACCTCTGGACAGCAAGCGGTGCCATCACAGCCTGCTTTCCTGCGGGTTTGAAACGACGTCCGGAGATGCTCAGACATTCGCATGTGGGCCTCGACGGGCCGCGGGGGCAGTGAGCCCCTGGGCTTTATGGGCAAAGATGGGAAATATGCCACGTGTAAGATAATCCAGCGATGTGGCTTTTATCAGCACCATGGGGCCTGTTAACTGCCTGAGTCCCCTCAGCCCATCACGGTCTCAGGAGACCCTACTGTGCACCAGGCCCGGCTTTGGAAAGCGCTAAATAGGAAGGCGTGAGATTTAGCTTTGACAGGTGAGGTCTGGTGAGGAGATCAATCTACCAGCTCGCCGGGAATAGTTGGGTGTCAGTGGTAGAAGCCGAGTGCTGGGAAGGTGGCCCACCGGGAGGGATCTGGGAACTTCCAGAGAAGGCTTCACGGAGGAGGTGGCGTTTCGGCTCTAAGTTCAGCCAAAGAAAGAAGAGGAGAGCTGGGCCGTCGGAGGCGGCCAGGCCTGTGCCCGCGGTGTGGGGCGCAGTGTGGAAGGTGCAGCAGGGCCGAAGGAGGGGGACTGAACCTCAGGGGCTGCCAGGGAGCCTGCTGGTCCTGCCGAGGAGGCTTCCTTCTCTCACCTTCTCTCACCCTTCTCTCACCCCTGCTGAGCACTTCCTGTGAGCTCAGTGCTTTCCGTGTGTTTTCTTCCAAAGTCCTCCAGTATTAGGGGGGCTGAGGCGTTGTCTCCACTTAAAGATAAGGAAGCAAGGGTGACGTGTGACTTGCCTGGTTGACACCTGTGGGAGCAGCTGGCGAGAGTCGGGGGAGCCCTTCCCACGAGCCTCAGCTCTGCCCCAGACCCGGCGTGGAGGGACGGGGTGCAGGGCCCCCAGCAGGGTCTGCATCCCAGTGAGGAGGGGGCGGACACGCATCCACCCACCCACAGATTCATTCTGTGCCAGGTGCCGTGTCAGCCTGCAGGCGTAGCGGGGCCCCTGCCCTCAGTAGGTGGCATGTCTGCTTCACCTGCTGAGGGGTGACAGGGAGCATCTGAGATTTCCTGCAGGTTTTTGAGAAGTTGTGTTTTGTGAAGCTTGAGGATTGCATAGTCTTAGACTGATCTTTTATCCAGGCTCTCATGAAAATGCAAAGTCTGTGAATCATTGAGGGTGCTCTTGGATGAATAAAAAACAAGACCCAACTTATAGTGTCTTAAGTTACATGGATATGTATCATCTTAACAGGAATTCTGGAGGTAGCCTCCTCACCCCCAGAGCTGGTTAATTTAACAGCTCAAAAAAGTCATCAAAGACTAGGTTCTTTTTCTACTCCCCACCCCCATCTTAAACATGTCAGCAGTAACTCTCCTCATGGTCTCGAGATGGCTGCTGTAGCTCCAAACATCACATCCTCACAGGTTGACACTCAGCCCTGGGGAAGAAGTTGGGCAGGGGTGTGCACAGGCAAAGGGGCCCTCCCCCTGCATGATTACTCTGATTGGGTAATCAGGGTAATCTCCCTTCGATCAGGGAGGAGAACCTTTTCCCTGGAAGCGCACACAGGCTTCTTGTATGACTCGCTGGCTAGAACTAGGTCACACATCCACTCCACCAGCAAAGAGTAATGGGAGGATGGGGACTGACTGACTCCAGCCATGTTCATCCCTGGGTGGGTGTGTTGCCAGGCCAACCGAAGCAGGGTCTGTTAGCCCAGAAGACAATCGTGTCTAATTCTGATCCGGGAGAACCCGATGTGTTGGGTTCCTGCCACCCAGGGACTGGCTTGATGTGCCTTGGTTTACATCTCAAAATCTGAAAGTTAAACCTGAAAATCTGTGAAAGAAATCACATAATTCTCCAGACCGTCTTGGCTGCCTCAGGCTTGGGCTTTGATGCCAGAAGGTCTGGGTTCAATTCCCACCTCTTCCACTCCCAGCTCATGTGGGTCTTAGACATGTTTCTTAGCCTCAGTTTCCATTCAACAACCCGATTGGGCACATACTCCGTGCTGGGCAGTGTTCTGGGTGCTTGGGATGCATCCATGAACAAAACAGACATCCTTGTCCTTGCGGAGATCACATTCTAGGGCAGGGAGACAGACAATAAGCACTAGATAGAATAAACAAGCAAATTTCGTCATACACTGAAAGTGAAGTGCTAGGAAGGGGAAGACACAGAGCAAGATAAAGACGGGGCTGGGAGTGCCGGGGAGTTACTATTTTAAATTGGGTAATCAGGGCAGGCTTCGTGGAGGAGGTGACCTTTGCTTGAAGACTTGAAGGAGGTGAGGGAAGAGCACTGCAGCCAGAGGGAACAGCCAGTGCAGTGACACTGAAGCAGGGAAGTGTGCCTGGCAGGTTCCAGGACAGCACGAGGCCTGTGTGTCTGGAGTAGCATGAGGAGGGGGGAGTGGGGGAAGGCTGGGGGGAAGGGGGCCCTCGTGAGGACCTGGGCTCCGACACCGTGAGAGAAGAAACACAGGAGGATCCTGTCCGTTTTAGTTTCATGGACCACTGGGTGCTGTGCTGATGAGGGGAGGCCAGGGCAGTGGGGAGAAGGGCCTGGGCCCCAGCCTGAGACCACGGCAGCTTGGACGAGAGTGTGAGGGGGCGTCTGCTTCTGGATTGTCTTGAAATCCAGCCAGCTCTAGTTTCACGATACAAAATGGGAATCTGTGTAAGATAGAAACATAGCAAACATCCAGCACATAGCACATCCTCAAGAAAAAATGCAATCTGTTACCATTGCTACAACTGAAATTTGCACAGGAAAACAAATCTGGTTCTCTTGACCTTTTATGTATAGTGGAGTTCTGTGCTTTTAGAACTTTTGTGGCGGGGGGCCGCAGCACGCAGCATACAGGGTCTTAGTTCCCCGAGCAGGGATTGAACCGGCGCCCCCTGCCAGAAGGTCTGGGCTCTGGAAGCGCAGAGTCTTAACCACTCGACCGCCAGGAAAGTCCCTAGAACATTTGTTTTCAACCAGGATCTTTTGTAACCCTGCTCGTGGTGCCCTGGAAACAAGGGCCCCGACTCTGAAATGATGAAAAGATGAGGCCACAACCATGTGTGACCTCAGGAAAGCAGGCGTTTTCTGATCTGTGTGGCAGCAGGACTGAGCGCGCTCATGACTGCAGAATGAGCGAAGGAAACAGGAGGGAGGGAAGCCTGTGTGTGTGTGTGTGTGTGTGTGTGTGTGTGTGTGTGTGTGTTGGGGGAAGAGGCCACCAGCTCTGCCTGTAACTTGGTAACAGCAGGTGGGGTTGTCCACAAGGACACAGCCCCATGGGGACCATGAAGAGACACACCCAGAGCTGGTCTTAGCGACTGGGGGGTGACAAGGGAATGGGGCAAAGGGATTGCGTTCCAGGGACGTTTATGAGAACAGGCCCACATGGCAGAATTGTGGAAAGTCACGGCAGGAAGCCATCTCCGGTGACGTGAGCCTGTTATTTCCAGATGGAGTATCTGAGGCAGAGGTTAGGTCAGGACCTGGGCTGGCAGGGACCACGCTGCCCTGAGCCAGCTCCCTCCAACTCACATGAGCGCCCTGGGGTTCTCGGGCTGCTTTGTGTTTTAACATCAGTCACTGTCTCCTCTTCCCAGACACCAGGACAAGAACATCCCTGGGCTGACCACCCCAGGGGAATTGCCGTCCGCATTTGGGTAGAGAGCCTTCCAATCTTCTCCTTTCTAAGAGTCTTTTCAATCTGAAGTCCTGTTGTATATTTACTTCTGTGTCCCGATTTATTCTCTTTAAGGGACTGTGTAAGCCCTTTCCCCATCATACATCCTTCAACATCAATTTCAGTATATACCCAGATTCCTTCAGATGCCTGGCCTGCAGCAGACTTAGCCATTCCTCAGCTCTTAAACGTTTACATCGATTCCAGCCCGGCATTGGGCTAGTCAGTTTCCTATGCCTCTGACAACCATGAGTGATCAGTATGGTTAACCCTTTGTTACAGATGAGGACTCTGAGATTCAGAGAGGTTAAGTAACTTGCCCCAGGTCACACAGCCAGGAAGCAGCAGGAGGAAGCATTCATGCCCAGGCTGCCTGTCTCTAAAGCCCAGCGTTTATTTACTACATTATACTGTAGTGATACTGCAGCCAACACCATGCAATAAAGCTTCCGTGGACGTTCATGGTCAGTTCCTTGGGATAGAGTCCCAGAGAGAGACGACTGGGTCAAAGGGTAGGAGCAGTTTTCACATTCCTTTGAGTCGATGCCAAAGGGTATTCCAGAAAGTGGTACAGATTGTCTTCCCACCATGGCCCGCCCCCTCCCGACCGTTTCTCAGAAGTGACCACAGTGACCGCCAAAGATAGGGGGCGGGCTGCTCCGGGTCACCCACAGCTGCTTGGTGCCCTTCACTGGGTCTCGGCTACTTGGATAGACAGATGGAATGTAAGGAGAATATATTGTCTTGATTAGGACGTTCAAAATTATTAACGAATTTGGACTCGTGATTTTTAGCAGGCAGAGGTCTGGGTTTACTGTCTGGCCCCAACCTTAGTGGACCCAGGCAGCTACAATCCGGTCAGCAGCAGAGATGATTGGGGCCGGGCAGAGAGGACGTGGCATTGGCCGGGCCCGGCTCTCGGGGCAGGAAAGCTGCTTTAATTCAGTCTCCTGGTGCCTCCGTGATGTAGATGCAGGTTATAGTGGGGCACTAGATCCCTCTTCACATTTTTCTCCTTTGAAGAACAGTCAATACGGTCATATCTTTAGGAAGATTAGAAAATGAGCCCTGGAGCTCACACGCCACTAGAGAGAAGCCTGCGCACCTCAACGAAGATCCTGTGTGCCACAACTAAGACTCGACACAGCCAAAAATAAATAAAATAAAAAAATAAATAAATAATAAATCTTTAAAAAAAGAAAAGAAAAAAAATGAGCCTAGTACCAGAGCCAAGGGTGTCCGTGAACCAGCCCATCACTCAAGGGCTGAATTGTTACACGCAGCGTTTACTGAAAAAGACACTAATTCTCCTACAGAGGCCTCAGGGAGCCTATGCCTCCCGAGTCGGGGTACATCTGCTTGGCCTACGCTGTGGTGCAAGATTTTCTTTTTTTAAATAAATGTATTTATCTTGGCTGTGTTGGGTCTTTGTTGCTGCACGCAGGCTTTCTTCAGTTGCGTTGAGCGGGGCCTACTATTCGTTGCGGTGCGCAGGCTTCTCATTGCGGTGGCTTCTCTTGTTGTGGAGCACGGGCTCTAGGCGCACGGGCTTCAGTAGTTGTGGCATGCGGGCTTCAGAAGTTGTGGCTTGCGGGCTCTAGAGCACAGGCTCAGTAGTTGTGGTGCACGGACTTAGTTGTCCACGGCATGTGGGATCTTCCCGGATCAGGGCTCGAACCCGTGTCCCCTGCATTGGCAGGCGGATTCTTAACCACTGCACCACCAGGGAAGCCCTGTGGTGCAAGATTGAACAAAGGGTTTTCACTCTCGGGCTGGGTGAGAGAAGGATTTAGAGCTGGGCACCGGCCTCGGGTCTCCTGGGGTGAGTGACGTCAGAAAAACGATGGCCTGGATGGTGGCCCCACACAACTTGGGGCTTATGTCACGCTAGCATAGTGCTGCCCTTCTCACCTCTGAGTAGGCCCAGATGAGGACTTGGGGGCCCAGAGAGATCAGGGATTTGCCCAGGGGCACACAGCATAGTGCACGAGTGGAGCCTGCATCCCCCGGGCAGCCCTGGAGTCTGGGCTTTCAGCTGCTCAGCTTTATGTCCAAAGAACCAACAGCTCCTTGGCGATGTGGAAGGAAGGATTTCCAACCACTCTGGTGGCTGTAACTGGGTAACAGCACGGGCAGCCCTGTGGCCCAGGTGAGGGGACGGGGACACCCGGGAGAGGCCCGCCACCTCGCCCTGTGTAGGGGTGGGAGCTGAGCTGAGTGGGTCCCACCTGGCAGAGCCACCCGGAGCCCCCAGGTCCTGGGTCGTGTGCACTGACCGGTGCATGAGCTGAAAGGGCACTGCTGACCAGACCAAGCAGACCTGACCCCCGGGGACCCCAAGACCCTTGGAGATTCAGACTCCCACACTTGCTCTTCCCAAACTGACCAGCCTGAGAAGCCACCTGCAGTGGAGGAAGGCTGCTCAGCTGCCCTTGCCTTCCAATCCCCCAGGGCACCAAACAAGGTGGAGTTTAAAAGTCGGGGCTCCCTTGATCAGACACCAGGAACTCCCCTCGACCACCACCATCCGTGTCGTCAAGAGCTGCACTGTGAAAAGCTTGTCCTCTATCCACGTAATAATAATTTACCAAAATTTACAACATACGTATTGTTTTGATAGCTTTATACTAGTAGCAGTCATAACAACACTACCCAGAATAAGCTATTAAATATTTAGAGCCTTGTGGCCATAAGAAATTCCTAATAAATCAATTTCCACGTAGACGGAGGGATTTTTGTTGCAGAGAGCCATAGGCGCCTTCCATCTCTAAAACACGTCACATGTGCACGCAGTTCTGTGGGGGAAAGAGATGGCAATAGGCTTTCCTAGCAAACGAGGAGCAAGGTGAAATGCCTGCTTTTACTCAGAGCCTGTCTCTGGGTTTTGTAAACAGAGGTCGGTGGTCTTGCTTCGGCATCTACGATCTGCTAGTTAAATTTAAAGATGCCAATCCTTACAGTTCACCAGAAACTACAGCCTCTGCAATCAGTTAAAGTTTTGGTGAAAATTTTTAGGCGTTGATTCAAAGATGGGCTACATGGTATTCCAAGGCTCTGGCTAGGGGGCTGCAACCCACAAAGACCCCGCCCTGACGGGCTGGCAGGCTGGGTCTCCGCAGGGAGGGCGCGAAGGCTGCTCCCTATGGAGCCAAGCCCGGTTCCCATGTGCCCTGGGGCCTGTCCTGAGGGCAGGCACTCCATCCTCCGCCTGGCAACGTCCCCCTGGTCCTCCCTGGGGCAGGAGGTATATTAGGGGTCAGTGTGAGTGTGCCCGGCCTCTCTCCCTTTTGCAGGGGGTCTGGCCTCGTCCATGTTGGGGGAGACGGGTGGAGGGGGGTCAGGAAGCCTCACTGTGGTCAGAGGATCCTCCCACCCAGAACAGGGCCTAGCACGCGGTAGGTGCTCAGGTGTGAACCGCCTCCCCATCTGTTATTTTCCTGCTGGGAACAGCCCACCTGGAGGAGCGGGGGTTGGGGGGGGGGGCTCATGGGGCATCAGCACTGCATCCCTGGTGGGCTCAGGAGGCGAGGAGGCGCTGGGCTGGCCCCTCAGCACAGCCTGCTTCTCATCCCGGGTCCGTGCCCCTTTCTAGAAGCTTCCACAAGAAAAGCCACTCGTCTCCAGGCTGAGGGGCCGTGCTTAGGCCGTGCACAGGCTGGAGTCTGTGCTTAGGGCATGGCCCCCCGAGGGTTCAGCGAGCCACCCTGAGTTCGCACCGAAGCCTGTGTGTAGTGAGGGATACTCCTGGGGCCTGTCGGGATTGGGGAGTTGGTGGTCACCTGCTACCTCGGCCCCTCCCGTGTGTCCCCAGAATGCGGCTGTGACCTGGCCGAGGGCGGCTTCTTCGTGCGGCAGGGCGAGTACATCTGCACCCAGGACTACCAGAGACTGTACGGGACCCGCTGCTTCAGCTGCGATCAGTTCATCGAGGGCGAGGTGGTGTCGGCGCTGGGCAAGACCTACCACCCAAACTGCTTCGTGTGTGCCGTCTGCCGGTGAGTGTGGGACCTGCAACCGCTCCTCCCCAGCCCTCCCTCCTCCCTCCCCCTCCCCCTCCCTCCTCCCTCCTCCCTCCCTCCACCCTCCCTCCTCTTCCCCCTCCCTCATCCCTCCTCCCTCTTCCCTCCTCCTCCCTCCTCCCTCCTCCTCCCTCCTCCTCCCTCCTCCCTCCTCCCTCCCTCCTCCCTCCCTCCCTCCTTCCCTCCCTCCCATTGTCTCATATGGCTGGGAGGGAGGCAGGGCCCAGCCAAGGGATGGCAGGTGGACCCTGGCCCTGCTCTGAAGCACACCTTCATCCAGCCGCACACCTTGCAGGCCCCCACCCCTTGCCCGCAGCGCAGGACCAAGCCCTCTTTCCAGGATGCAGAGGCCCGTGGGTTCTGAGACTGCCAGCACGAGGCCTCTGATGGCTTCTGGGAAGGTGCTCTCCCCCCGCCTGTGCCTTCTCGGCACCCCCCCAACCAGCCCCTCTCCTGTCCGCAGCCTCCACCTTGTCTCCTCTCACGTTGGTGCCTGCAGTGTCCACGCTTTGGCCTCTCCGTGCCCACCCACTGTCGCTCCCCTCTCCTTCACCGTCCTGGCACATCCTACCTGCACACCCTGCCTCTCTGTACCCAAGTCCCTGATCTGTAGGTGGCACTGGCGCCCAACCCACCAGGCACACGGGCCCCAAACATGGGCGTCTTCCCAGGTCCCCCCCATGAACTTCCGAAATCGGCCCAGCCACTGCCTTACTCAGACCCAGAACTCACCTCCCTGGAGTCCTGCCAAGGCCTCCACACTGGGGTCCCTGTTTTCCCTCTGCCTGTCACTCCTCCGCCCCACCCCCATGGCCTCCACGAGAAAGCCTGAGCCTCCCAGCCTGGCTGAGAGGAGCTTCACAGTCTGTTCCAGTCCCTTCATTCCTTTATTCATTCATTCATTCATTCATTCGTCCAGGCTTTTCTAAATGCCTACGTGGGCCAGGCCCCAGGCTGGCTCTGGTGACTTGGAGCTGCATTAGCCTAGACCCTACGGGTGCAGCATCTGGGGACACAGCAGTGCAGCAAGAGCCGCCTCCCCCCAGCCTCCCTCCGGGAAAGCAGTCCCCTCCCTCTCCCTCCTCGCGGCTCCCCTGCATCCTGGGCCCTACAACCCTTCTGTGGCACCGTGTCCCGGAGCTGCTTGACGGGAGCACCACGTGGGCAGGGACTGGATTTGACTCCTCCGGCGCCTGCCGCCTGCCACGGAGCAGGTGTCCAGTGAATGGCCGTTAGAGACAGAATGAGGTCCTCAGCCCCGGCAGCAAGGCTACACCTGCTCCCCTCTCTGCCCTGCACCTCTGGGGCTTGGGGGCAGCAGCAGGCAGCCCTCCCACGTGGGCATCCTGCCTCCCCCCTCCCTCCCTCCCTCCCACCCACCACAGCCCCAGACACATTGCTCCCAGGGGGAATGTTCTGTCTAGAAAACAAAGAATGAAACCCCCAGAGTTTATTCTCTGTTCTCTCTGTCTCACCACACCCAGTTGAAAGGGGACTTGTTGAGTGTTGTTACCGCTGTTTTCTGTAGTTGTGGCACGTGCTCTAGGCGGAAAGGGAAGCTTTTGTTGGGGGTGGGGGTGGGAGGAGGTACTGGGCCAGGAAGGAGCAATGACAAGGGACATTTCTAACGGAAGAGTCACCGTGTGTCATTGCAGCGTGCGTGGGTCAAGGTTCCCCCAAGGATATTCTGCATGTTTGATTTCTGTGCACGTAGCTTAGAGACAAGGGGTGACATAATCACAGTGGGTTTGAAAGATCACCTCTGTAATCCGATATTTTAAAAATAATATCTGACAGCTCTGTCGTGCTGGAGTCACTGGGCCTGGACTTATCCACCCACTATAAAAAACTAGAAAACTGGAAAAAATATACAAAACAACTGTTTTGGGATACTGGGGCACAGACAGCTCAGGACTAACAGAGGGAAGACGAAAGAAGGGACCCCTGTGACCACCCAGCTCTCTGCCTGGAGGCTGTTTCTTGAACCAGAGGACAAGAGGGAACCAGGTAGGGCATGGCATCCTCCCCAGGTTAAGAGACAGTGATGTGAGAGGCAGAAGAGCGTAGCAGAGGGGAGAGAGCTATGCAGAACAAGACCTCAGGAGAGCTGCATAGAGGTGCCTTTGACTCTTGGACTAAATACGAAGCCATGTAGACGGAGAGGAAATTTCACAAGGTTGGGCAAAAAATGACCAGGTTGCTGTAAGCTAAACATTCCCAGGGCTGGGAGACATTCGAGTTCTGGCCAGGTGGAGATTCCTTGTGGAACACCCAGGTATGCAGTGGGGACACCGAAAGCATCATGCCTTATTAGTGGAACTGAAATTGCCCTAGAGTGAAGGCATAAACCTGCTTGAAGTTCAAGAACAAGCCTCAAAGAGATCATGCTGGTCCGCAAGTGAGCCAACTGCCTGCCAAAGCAAAGTATAACACTCTTTGTAGAAAGAGAAGAAAACCCAGCCCTCAACAACATAAAATCGACAAATGTGACCGGTCATGAGAAGAAGCTGGGAAATGTGACCCAGGGCCAGAAGAAAAATCAGTCAGTAGCAACAGACCCAGAAATGAGATCAATGGTGAAACTAGCAGACGAGGACTTTAAAACAGCCGATGTAAATATATTTAAGTATTCAGAGGAAAGCATGAACATAAGTAGGAGCGTTAGAGAAGGCATGGGAAGAAACCAAATGGAAATTATAGAAATGAAAATGGAAATTTCTGAAATAAAAAATTCCCTGAGGGCTTCCCTGGTGGCGCAGTGGTTGAGAGTCCACCTGCCGATGCAGGGGACGCGGGTTCGTGCCCCCGTCCGGGAAGATCCCACGTGCCGCGGAGCGGCTGGGCCCGTGAGCCGTGGCCGCTGAGCCTGCACGTCCGGAGCCTGTGCTCTGCAGTGGGAGAGGCCACAACAGTGAGAGGCCCGCGTACCACAGGAAAAAAAAAAAAATTCCTTGAAAGGAATTAGCAGTAGATAATATATTACAGAGGAAAAGATGGGTGAACCTGAAAACATAACAGTAGAAACTATTCAAACTAAAGCAATGACAGGAAAAAAGACTGAAAAATATGAAAAGAGACTCAGTGATCTGTGGATATAAAGTTTTCTGTCTAGATTGGGAGCGGGGAAGACTGAAAGTTTTTGAAGAAATAATGGCTGGAAAATGTTCACATTTGATGAAAACTATAGACTCATCTCAGTGAATCCCAAGCAGAATAAACACAGCAAAAACCTACCAACCTCATCATAGTCAAAATTCTGCGTGATAAGAAGAAGACCTTAAAAGCAGTAAGCGGGGAACAAAACAACCCAGTATGTAAAATGGAACAGAAGAATGACTGCAGACTTCTCATCTGAAACACTGTGAACCACAAGATGATAGAACAGCGTCTTTAAAGAGCTGAAAGAAAAAAAATCTATCAAACAGGTCTATACCAAGCCTCCCTGAGACAACAACTTTCAGAAATGAAGGCATGACTGCCAAATGCTATTGCATTTCTTTTGGGAGTGATGAAAAATGTCCTCACGTTGATTGTGGGGATTTGATTGTGCATTCACAACCCTGAATACACTGAAAACCATTGAATTGCACACATTGAATGGTATGTGAATGTTATAGAGCACGTGAATAAAATAATGTCAGTAAAGCTGTCACACACACAAAATGAAGGCGAAACACTTTTGCAGACACACGAAAGCTAGGAGGATTTGTTGCCAGCAGACCCGCCCTATAGAAAAGTGAAGAAAAATAATATCAAAAGACGTCAAGAAAATGAAAAAGCAAGCCATCAGCGTAATAGAGGATATATATCTGGTGAAACACAGGTATCTACAATATATAAAGAACTTCTACAACTCGATAATAAGAAGACCAAAAAAACTATTAACAATGAGCAAAGGAGTTTAGCAGATACTCCACAAAAATGTATGTAAATGACCAATAAACAAATGAAATGATTACATTAACATCACTAGTCATCAGGGGAATTCCAATTAAAACTCGTTGAAATACTATCCAATGTCCTCTAGAATGACTCACAGTAAGAAGATGGATAGTGTCAAGTGTTGGTGAGGATACAGAGTGAAAGGAACTGTCACAGGTCTCTGGTGGGAAGGCAAAGTGGTACAACCTCTACAGAAAGCAGTTTGGTAGTCTCTTGTGAAGTTAGACACACAGATAGCACGTGGCCCAGCAATTCCACTCCTAGGTATTTACCCAGGAGAAGCAAAAGCACACGTCCACACAGACTTGTCAGCAAACGTTCTTAGCAGCTTTATTTGTAACAGTCCCAAACTGGAAAGAATCCAGATGTCCTTGGACATGAACAGCTCATCCGTGCAAAGGAGCAGCATTTGACGATCAAAAAGAACAAACCAGTGGCGTGTGCATCCGTGCGAGTGAATCTCAACAAGAACACGCAGCAGAACGAGACATCCAAGACTGTGCACCGTGTGATTCCACTTACATGCAGTTCCAGAAAATCAAGTCAGATCCATGGCACAGAATGCCGATCGCAGCCGCCTGGGGCCGGGGTGGGGGGATGAGTGTGGACGGTCACAGCAGGCTTTTTACAGTGGACAGAAATGTCCCATACCATGACTGTGGTCCTGGTTACATGAGTGTGTACATTTGTCAACATATACTTCAGTGAAGTTGAATTAATAAAATAATAGCTACCATTCATTCAGCCCCTCCTGGGTCCCAGGCATAATGCTAGAACTTTCCACGCTACAGGTCAGATGCACGGATGGATGAATAACAGCCTGAGACACAGATGTCCTTAGTCCCATTTTACAAGTGAGAAACAGGAACTCGGAGAGGTTAAGCAGCTTGCTCTGGGTTACACAGCCGGAGATTCTCTCCGAGCGCATCCAGGGATGGCAAGGGACTCCCGCTGTGGCCCAAGACCCCCCATTACCAAGGCGGCTGCAAGACAGCAGGCGGGAGAGAGGTAGACCCCAGCACTAACCACGCATGATGCAGCGCACGGCGTCAGGTAGCTGCCAGGGCAGCTGAAGGACGGAGAGCGGCAGGACCATCTTGCAAGTCTTGGGACGGGGGTCAGCTCAGCTTATATAGGTCCTTGCTCCCTAAGAGCTGAGACTGGCTGGCTGGGGCCCTGCTGAATCCGCCTAGGGCCCTGAACGCCAGCCCCACAAAGTGGGGGGCTTTGGCGGGGCTTTTTCAGGGGAAGGCTTGGCAGCCTCATGGGTCAGAAAGCTCTTCTGGTCGCAGAGTCGGGGCTGGACTGGAGCCGGCATGACCCAGGCAGGCTCCGAGAGGAGGCCCTGCAGGGGAAGGCGTCTGAGCTAGGCCTCCAGGGGGACCTTCAGTTATTGACGTGTTCACGTACTTGCTCATTCTTTCACTGACAGTGACCTGTCGAGCACCTGGCTGTGCCTGGCCTTGTCCAGTCCCGAAGGAGGCAGGGGGGACACGACGAAGGCTTAAGCCAGAGGACGGGGCGTGCCCTGGTCCAGATAATTCAGAGACTGCTGCCCGCAGGGCTCAGGTTCTCTTGCCGGGCTGAACTGGGGGAGGAGGTGGCCCAGTGGCAGTAGGTGGCCTGACCCTAGCTCACCAGAGGCAGGCACCCGATCCACCTCTGTCACCAGAGGGGAAGTTCCGGGGCTGAAGCAGGTGGGCCGGCTCTGCTGCCCCCACCGGCCTCGCTTGGGCAGCCCAGGGCCGTAACTTCACCTTGCCCCAGGGCTGGGACTAGGGTGCGGCCGGTGGATTATTCGCTTTGGATGCAGAGTTTAAGGGGAGGCCAAAAAAGTGATCAAGGTAAATGATATTTTAATGTGATATTTTAAAAATTGGAATTAATGCAAAAAACAAATCCATGATGAAAAAAATTCCAGACTTTAAAGACGGAATCCAGCATACAGTCTTGCATGCTCCTAGCGGCACTGCTTTCTGAGAGACCCAGGTAGGCAAATCACGGCGCCTTGGAGCCAGACAGGTCTTGGTTTGAGTCTGGTTCTGACGGGCAGCAGCCGTGTGGCCTTGGAAAAGTCAACTATCCTCTCTGAACTTCAATTTTCTCACCCATAGAGAAAAACGAAGCAAAGACCAACCTGGGCAAGCATCTTAATGGTGATAGATGAGGCAGGCATTAAGGAATCTGTCATAGAACCTGGCCTGGCACCTAGTAGATGCTCAGTAAACGGTGCTGTTGCCATGAGTATTGAACTGACAAAGCATCCTGGGCGGTCAGAGGAGGCAGGGTTGGATGGAGGAGGCCAATGGCTGGGACTGCCCAGTTGATCGCCATGTGCAAGCACTGGCCGGCCCCCACTGCTACGGCCCACTGCACCGTGATTCTGCCTGCCGGTGCCGTTGAGGAAACGAAGGCTAAGACGGCCCAGCGGGGCCAGCGGGGCCACGGCAGCACCTGCATGCAGACACCCAGCGTCCTGGGCCTGTGGTCCCCGGGGAGGTGACGGCATGGTGTCTAGGATGGGGCTCCCCCCACCCAGGAGAAGAGCCAGGAGGTGGTCCTGGCTGGTAATGCGCTGTCTTATTTCAGGTTGCCCTTCCCGCCCGGGGACCGAGTGACCTTCAACGGCAAGGAATGCATGTGCCAGAAGTGCTCCCTGCCCACATCAGCGGGCAGCAGCGTGCCCCTGTCCCAGGGCCTCTGGAGTAAGTGGACGCAGAGCGGCGTGGCGGAGGGGGCTTGGCAGTGCTGGGTGGCAGGCCTGACACCACTGGGACCAGAAGTAGTGGAAGCGAATAACTGTGGATGAACACAACGAAGGGAACCAGGGCCAAGCGTCTCTGGGGTACTCCTGCCTCTAAGCCTTTGCTCAGCCTGTGCCCTCCCCCCTTCGTGCCACTCCATCTTTCAGCCCGGCTCTAGCCCACCTCCTCCAGGAAGCCTTCTGGCCTCCTTCTGGGCTTCTCCCTCCAGCACCCACACTCAGCTCCCCACAGTTATTTCCAGGGCATCCGGGAGCCCTTCAGGAGAGCCACTAGGAGAACAGTGACCTCTGGGCTCCTGTGGTCTGGGGCTCTTGGATTACCTGTTCCGTCCCCTGGGAGCTGGGCCAGGGTGCATATGCAGTGGGTGCTCAATACATGCTTCTTGAATGAAGAAGGGGGTTGTTAGTGAAAACGAACCAGTAGCAGGGGCATGTCAGGAGCTTGTGGATGTGGGGCAGAGAGAGAGGTGGGAGCAGAAAGGCACTGGCCTTTCCCTGTGGGTGGCTCTTCCAGGACCAGAGATGGGACACAGGGACGGGGAGGGAGCCCAGCGCCCCAGGACTGCTCCCACCAGGCTCCCACTGCAGAAACGGGGTGTTCAGAGCCCACCCTGTGTGCAAGGTGGCTGTGGTGTCCCCAGTGCCAGGGCCACGTGTCCTGGGACAGAGGAGAGGTTTGTACTGACTTCCAGAGCCAGCCCCTGGCTCTCCTCACTCTCCTGTCCTCTCCCGCTTCCTTGTCCGCGACACTGAAAGTCTGTACAGAGGAGACTGCACATCCTCCCAGGAGCCGAGTGTTGGCTTCAGGGACTGGTAACAATTTTATCTGGGAAATGAGGCGAAGCCTTCATCCCTTGGGGAGGCAAGCTCACGGCAGTCACAGTTGGCTGTTGCTTTGGGGTCTGCTAGGAGAGTTCTCCATTCAAAACTTTCTCTCCAGCTGAGATCTGGATTGATTAAATTTCTGAGAATTTGCTTCAACAAACAGCCCTATTATCATTAAGCCTGAAATAGTAATCAAAAACCACAGCAAAATTTGAAAAGGCGGGGATTAGTTTGAAGAGTTTGTCCAGAGCTTCCTGGCAGCCAAAGTAAAAAGGGAAATATGCCCAATCACAGACTCATTGTCTGAGACTTTTTTGAGATTTTTTTAAATGTCATGGGCAGAAAGGCTGCCCTCTCCAGATGGAAATTTATTTTAAAATATCAAATTGGTGTTTTCAAAGAACAAATGCTGCCCTCACCCCCAGATGGGTCTGTAACCCACCCCTTCTATAACCTATCCCTTCTCGCAGTCCATGGTGATAATCCCCAGCTTAGAACCGTTTTTGTGCCTGGAAGGCATTAAACATTCATCACCAGCTCTTGGCTTCTGTGTGGATGTCTGCATTGTCTTCCCAGCTCCCACCTCCTTTTGTCCCCAGAGCAGCCTGGCCAGGCAGGAGTCCCTCCCTCCTTCTGCAGGAGCATAAGTGCCCTGAGCCTGGTGGAGAGCAGCGGAAGTGCTGGGTGCCCAGTGTCCAGCTAGGGAGGGGTGGGGCTGAGGTTTGAGCCAAGACCTTTAAAGTCCAAAGCAGGGGAGCCCACCCTGCTGTGACCAGAGGCTTTCTGAAGAGGTGGCCTTTGTTCTGAAACCTAAAACACAGGTTTTCGTTAAGTAGGCATTGAGGGAAGGGCACTGCATGAGCTGGGCCCAACTGCCACCCCCGTGTGAGTGGACAAGGTGGGTGCTGTGTGGGAGCAGGGAATGGAAGTGAAGAAACCAGGCGGCAAAGCCATGCCAGGGAGCTCCAGCTGCATCCTGGAGGCAACGAGGAGCCATAGATGGCTGTTGAGGGAGGTAGTGCCGAGGTGGGTTGGGAGCATGCTAGGAATGTGAGCCTGCGCAGCGTGGTCTGCCCTGCAGGTGGTGGCAGCTGGGGGAGGGACGCGGCCCTTCTTGCATAGAGAGGAAAGCTGCAGATGGCCACCTTTGGGGGCCGCCTTCCCTGGGGGAAGCAGAGAGTGGCCAGCTGCTCCCGTGGAAGTCAGGCTTGGTCCCAGGGACCTGAGCTTCCCTCTTCCGCTCATTGGCCTGAGCCTGTTGCTTAGCAACAGGATCAGCGCTTCTTGCTGGATGCCCACGCCTTCCCCGGGGAGGGGTGCACCACTCCTTCTGGGTGGCCAGCTCCTCCGCCGCACCTGAGCTTTCCACGTCGCTTCTGCCCTGGACTGCCTCCCTGACTGCCCTGGGGGGAGGGTCTCCTCCCGGAGAGCCCGCTGGGCGCCCATCCAGGCTCCCCTTTTCCAGGCTCCTCCCAGACTCTCCAGCTCTGAACCGGTTGCTGGTTGGAGCCGGTCACAGGGCAGCCCTCAGAGAGGCCCAGCGCCACTCCAATCAGGGCGCAGCTCTGAGCCCGGCTGTGAGGAATAGACCCTGCCACTCACCACCTGGGTGCCCTGGGCACACTGTGTCCCCTCTCCGGGCCTTGGGAGTGGATGTGGGGTCAGCAGTGGGTGTGGGCAGTGGCCCGGAGGGGCAGCCTGGTGTCGCAGCAGCCAGGAGCTGGGAATGTGGGACCTTGGACTGGGGCAGCCCTGTCCAAGCTGAGGAGCCCCCGTGACCCGTTCTTGGGCTCGACTCCACCTGCTGGGGCCCAGCCCAGCCAGGACGGGGTCACACCGGGAACCTGGGATCACACTCGGAGCCAGGATCAGGAGGCCCACTAAAGTCAGGAGGGAAGGGGCAGGGCCCTGGCATCCAAGGCCTCTGCTGGCTGTGTGCCCATGAGGGGCCGTCCTGTGGGTGGGGCGGGTCCTCAGGCCTTCGGACGTGCATCCACCTGGGCTGTGGCCCTTGGAGCCTCTGTGTCTTCCGCCCATGTGGGGTTGCACTGTCCATGTGATCAGGGGTGGGTGACGGGATCAGAGCCCCGGTCCCTCTTCCGGAAATGGGGTGAGCCTTTCTTGTGGCAAGGCTGAGGTTAAATGAGGGGGTGATGTGGAAAGATGAGGAGGGGCTGGGCCCCATGGGGGGAGCAGGCATGCAGGCTGCCTTGTGGGGTGCAGTGGCTGCCTTGTGGGGTGCATCTGCCTTGTCCCCCAGGAACCAATGTCCCTCCTGGCCGCCACTCCCCGCCCCCCAGCCACTGCGTTGCAGTCAGGGGGTCGAGTCGCCAGTTCAGTGCAGAGCCCAGTGGGCGGGATGCACTTGAACCTTTTTTTCTCTCCCAGCAGATGCTCGCAGCCCCTCCTGCTTGGCCCAGGCTCCTTAGAGAAACCGCAAGCCAAGCCCGTAACGTCTCAGGCATTTTAAAGTTAGAGCCCAGTCGGTTCCTTGCCATCAAAGGTCAATCTCAGATTCGACCCAGACCCCCCTCCACTCCCAGTTAGATCTGAGGAGGACAGTGGGCGAGGGAGTCTGATCCTGCACCCCACTCCCAGCCCGAGTCCACAGCTGGGGCTCAGAGAGGCCCCCGACACGTCCTGGGTCCCATGCGAGTTAGTGGCAGAGCCGGGCCTTTGAACCCATGACTGCGTGTGCTAGAGGAGGGGGCACTTGAGGGGAAACAAGGAAACTTTTTGGAAGGTTCTAGAAGGGTCATGCTGGGGAAGGGGCCCAGGTCCATTCTGTGGCTGTGATGGCAGAGCCAGGCCCAGGGTGCGAGGATGAGTGGATGGCAGGCGTTGGCCCTTCCAGGCCAAAGTGTGCCCCCCTTTTGCCCCCGGGCAGTGGGGACACACTCCCTCAAGGACGTCTGCGCGTTGACAGCTGTTGTCGAGTGGATTCATCACAGAAGATTCACCTGTCATTTGCAAAGCCCTGCGAAGCTATGCTGAGCTCCAGATGTGTTTAGAAAATGATGATTGCCGTTTCCATGACAACAGTCCTCGCACCTGGCCCTGGCCTCCACGTTCATGGCTCACTATTTGTGAGACTCTACCCCGAGTCTATGGGGACAAGGAGGCAGTGTGGAGGTGCGGACCACGTCCCCCCTCGGCGGCAGGTGGCACGTTTGCCCGGAGCCTCGGACCCTGCCCTGGGGGAAGGCACACTGCTGATATAGGAAGAGGCAGAGCGGAGGGCTTCCTGCAGGGAATCGGCCCCTCACGAGGTGTCCCCCTCGAGACAATAGCGGTAATAGTTTGAGCGTTCAGCTCATGTGTGCGTATTCATTCCTCAAACGCGTCCTTCACACCACAGGCCTGTCTCTGTTAGCTCATGACAGCTGCGTGAGGCTGGTACTGTTACTAGCCCCATAAAATGCATCCCTGTCTTAGTGGGCACAGAGACGTGAAGTGACTCGGTCACTGTCACACAGCTGGTGGGGACAGCCTGGCTCCAAGGTCCGTGTTTCCAGCCACTGCCATGCCCTGCCTCTCCCCAGGCCCGGCATGGTCTGGGCTGCTCCTTTGCTTTGCCCGTCTATGAAGACCTGGACCGAGGCTCCGAGCAGGCTTTCTCGACTTCAGCGCTGTTGACATTTGGGGCCTGACGATTCTTTGTGGTGGGGGCCGACCTGTGCCCTGGAGGGTTTTGAGCAACATTCCTGGCCTCCGGGCCCCTGGGGCACGACCCCCACCTTCCACGCCCAGTTGGAAGGACCAGAATTGTCTCCAGACACAGCCCAAAGCCCCCAACAGCAAAATGGCCCTGGTCAAGAGGCGCTGGCACAGAGCATACCGTGTGTGCCTGCGGTCACCCGCTAGGTGAGGACCCAGAGTCAAAGCTGCACGGATCCAGCACTGGAAGGCGGTGTCGGCCCTGCTCTGCTGGGGACGGACTGAGGGGGCGGGAGGGGAGGGGTCTTGATGTCTCCTGAACTTGAGGAGGGAGCTTCCTCTTGGCTCCGATGCATTCAGGCGTTCGTTCACTGAGCTCTTCTCTGCCGCCAGCCTGGCTGGGCTCCAGGATCCTGAGATGGCTGGGAGGTCCCCTCTTCCCTCCCAGCCCTGGACCTTGGGGTTCGAGCCTGTTCTTCGGGTCTTTTCCAAAGTTGCCAGTGGATTTGACGGTGTGGTAAATTAAGAAATCTAGAGTTTGACCAACAGTTCTGTAGATATTAAATATTTTTTATTCTTAAAGATAACGTGATGCTGGGCTCTGCCCAGAAGGAGAGCAAATCCCTGTCAGAGCAGAGTCTGGCGAGCCCGCCGTGCGTCGGGCGTGGCCCGGCAGCGTCGGCACCTAGACGTGCGGGCTCTGCTGTCTTCATATGAGATCCGTCATTGAATGTGACTGCCCCGCCCCACCCCCCGGCTGGAAACAGGGCTCCACACGGAGAGGAAAGAGGCTTGTCCAGTGTGACCCCGAGGAGCAGGGCCAGGATTGGAGCCAGGCTGCTGGACCTTGGGCCCCATTCTTTCATCTAGGGTGGGGGGGTCCCTGCCTGGCTGAGCCCAGGAAATGCTGAGTCCCTCAGGGCACCCCCTGCTCGCCTCTCCTCATCAGGGCCCTTTGGGGTCCCCAAGGCCCCACCCTTGTCATGTCCCCAACACACACAGATATACACAGAAATACTAGACACACACACACAGACACGCAGAGACGGATAGACCTACATACAGACATACACACATTTATGCACAGACACAGACACACTTACACAGACACACACACACAGAGACACATACACATGCATACACACAACACATCACACACACAGGCACTAACACACGCATACATAGATACACTCATGCACACACACCCCTGCACACAGTCACATACAGATATACCTGTCTGCACACAGACATGTCACACAAAGATACAAGTGCACATAATCAGACACAACACATGCACATAAGACACACGTGTATGTACTCGATACAGATATGTGCACACACACGCACACCCCAGGCAGGTCATGCTGCCTGTCTCTGCCCCTGACGTTGCCTGGCCTGCTCCACCCCCTGGTCCTTCAGCACACGTGGCACTGACTGTGGGAGCCCCCGGTGTGGCTGCCCATGGCTGGAGGGGTCGGGAGGCAGCAGGGCCATGTACTGAGCACCTGAGACCCTGGGGGGGGCTTAATCAGGGACGGGCATGGCTGGAGGGGCAGCAGGGAGACCGGTCAGGGGCCCAGACCAGGCTGGGGGCCATGGGAGGGAGAGCTCCCATCACCGGGGATGAAGGCGCTTCCTAGGGCCTGGCTCCGACCTGGGCTGAGGCCAGGAGCACAAGCGCGGGTGGTCAATGTCCTATGTCCGGGATGTGGCACGGCTGGCCACAGAAGGAGCTCAGAAGCCGGGGCCGGAGGGCTTCCTGGGAGGGGCACCCTGGCAGGCGAGCGCTCAGAGGACAGGCATCGGGGCTCCAACCTCTCTAAAGCGGCACCTTTCCTGGTGGGGGGGCACAATTAGGTTCAAAGTCCACCTGCCAACAGAGCAGGACAGGCGAGGCCACCCAGAGCTCCTGCCATCATGGCACCCTGCTGCCCGGGCCATGCTTGGGGCAGTGCCCACTGCAGGGTGCCCCTGTGCAAGTCCACATCTGCTTCTGCAGGCCTGGACGCCCATCTCTGGAAGGTGGGGCCTCTGTCTAGTTCATCCTGGTATCCCAGGCGCGCGGCCCAGGCTGCACGCAGTCGGCGCTCGATGCGCGCTCACACTGGCCGTCGTGTAACGGCTGCGGCTGGACGGTTCCGTCTGTCCCGTCCCCAGGCCCGCTCTCACTGCCCCTGGGGTGTCTGAAGTCCCAGCGGTGCAGGGCCGCCACCCTGCGCCTCTCGCCCACACCCACGAGGATGACGGCTGTGCTCCGTTCTTTCTTCCAGGTTGCAAGGGCTGCGGAGTGGAGATCAAAAACGGCCAGTCCCTGGTGGCCCTGGAGAAACACTGGCATCTGGGCTGTTTCAAGTGCAAGACGTGCGGGAAACAACTGAACGCGGAGTATATCAGCAAGTGAGTGGGCGGGGCTCGCTGACCTGTCACCTGGGGGCGGGGCAGGGCTCGTCCTGTGCCCACCCTCCTGCCAGCTGCTCCCGCCTGTGCCAGGGGAAGAGCCCCGGCCGGGCCCCTCTCCCTACCAGCCTTGCTTCCTCAGTGTGGTTTGCAGAGACTCCCATGCTCTTTCTGTTCACTGGGACAGAGACTTTAGCGCTCCCGCCTTTGACCTTGTAAAACACCTCTCCACACCGCCCCTGGTGTCACCCTCGCCCGTGGAATTCACCCCTCTTGCTGGTGCCTGCATCCCCTGCAGAATGCAAAGTGGACGTCAGCCGAGGCCGTCAGCAGAGCAAGGAAGAGAGGGCTGACCGGGCTCGGGTGTCACGGGTGTGACAGCACAGCCCTGTCTTCTGCCGCGGGGCCATCGGCAGCTCCCGCTGGCCGACACAGGGTCCCTGATGTGTGCTCAGGATGCAGCGGTGGCTGGTTTGGGGTGCGGGGGGAGCACCGTTATCCAGAGTCAGTGGGGAGGGAGCTTCTGGGGATCGGGCCCTGAGCAGAGGCAGCTGGTCTGCCAGGTGCATTCTAATCCCTGGAGGTGAGGAAACTGAGTCAGGTGAGCCGCCAGACAGCACCGGGGAGGGAAGGGTTACAGGCTGAGCTCAAAGGAGCAGCTTCTCTGAGTGCAGAGCGGCTCCCTCCTGCCAGTTAGGGGCTTTTCTGGCAACTTCTATCAAAGACTGTGCTAGTTCTTGACGCTCTGAGGGAATAGAACCATCACAGGAATTGACTGGGGTAAAAAACTGCTGCAATAAAACTTCAGAGAATAAAACCCGCACACATACACGTGTGCACACGCATGTGCCCGCGAGAGCGGGTGTACACTGGGGGAATCCGAACCGGGTCGCCGCGTGTGCCGGTGTCAATTTCCTGGTGGACCTTGTACTCTAATTCTGTAAGATGTGAGCCTTGGGGAAACCTGGGGAAGGCCGTCCTGGTTTCTCTGTCCCGTTTCTTACAACTGTGTTTGGATCCGCAATTATCTCAAAATCAAACATTGCCAGTGAGAGTCCCCACATCAAGATGAGCCTCTGTCCAGGCTGGGTCAGGCTTGCGGGGGGGCGGTTTCTGGCTGCTTGGGCCAGGACCTGTTGCCTCTGTCATAGTAAAGGGAAGGGGTGAGTGACATGCCAAGGCAGCCTTGGGGACAGAGCACTTAAAATAAAATGATGCCCAGCCCCCAGAGCACTGCAGCCCCTCTCACCCACACAGCGTGTATGTTACTTAGCAGCCTCTGGAACAGCCCGGAATTCGTGATGAGGGCGTGGTGGTGTTGCCATGGAGACGTTATCTTTGAACCTTCTGGATTTGCTGCATGTACAGCCTTTTTTGGGGAGAGGTTGGGGCCCTGAGGTCAGGGCATTTGAAGGTGGACCCTAAGGGCCCAATATACATGTCCCCTCCCCTGTGAAAGAAAGGGCTGCTTCTGAGGCTGCAGAGAAACACCGGGACCTCACCCCTCCTGCCGTCATCTGTGTGACCCAGACAAGGTCCTGAGCTTTGAGGAAAAGAGGGCGCCGCTAGCTGCAGTCTCCCAACAGCTTGAGAAATCTCACCTTCTGTTAGCAGCTGAGCAAAAATCAAAACCAAACTGGGGCTAACACGGCAACTTCAGCAGTGCGGGGTTGGGGGCGGGGGGAGGATGACGCACCAGAGTAACGCCCCCGACCCTGCACCCCCCGTGCCAGTCGCCTCCACATCCAAGTCCCATTGGGCTGGACCTGGGGCCAGGGGGACAGCCCCGGTTGGCGATGACAATGACAGTGGCCTCAGCCACCGGGTGCCAGGTGCCGGCCATACCTTGTCTTCCTTAGACCTTGCACTTAGCGATCCCACTTTACAGCCAGGAAGCTGAGGCCCGGACAGGTTAAGTGGCAGCTGGGACTCTGGGCGTTTGAGTGCAAGCCTGTTCGCTCACCACTGCCCAGCAGGAAACACTGGCACCACCTCCGACACCGTCACTGCCACTCGTCCCGTGGCGTTGACCCCATAGTGATAATTAATGAGCTCCGACCGCAGTCCAGATACTGTCCAGGCCTTGTGTCTGCGTTGTCTTCCGTCCACCACCTGCAAACCAGCTTCTCCTTACAGTTCAGTGAAGGGGGCTCGGCATTTAAGCAGCCCGCCCACGGCTGCCCAGATATTCATGAGCAGTGCCCACGAGGTGTCCCGCTCGTCCCAATTTCCCAAAGCCACAAGCCACGCACGTGGCGCGTAGTAAGCCCGCCATTGCTGTGCGCGGGGAGCGTGGACGCGTCGCTCCTTCCTGCGCAGCCTGATGCCCCTCGCCCCTCGGATTTCGAGAGCAGGAAGCTCCCGGCCACGCCCGGGAGGGTGAGGGTCGGTCCCAAGGCACACCTGCCACTTGGCATCTTGTCACCCTCAGACCTGGTCTCCAACGTGGGCGGCTTTGTCACAGCCCCTTGTCGGCTCACGTTTTTCTCCAGCGCCCCAGACCCCTTTCAGAACGAGCAGGAAGCCACCCAATGCATAAATAGACTATTTCCCACCCTGGATGTTAAACATCTGACAGAATGAACTGGAAGGAAGAGCCACGTCTGCGGAAACGTCTTTTATTTCCCAGACGCAGCTTTGATTCCTTGGGCTCAGCCTTTGGAGCCCTCCACCAGCCCTCGCTCGCCCCCTGGGCAGGCGGCCCCACCTCTTGCACCTCAGTTTGTCCACCTGTGAAATGGGACGATCTTTGTGGTATTTCTCTTGGGGCTGCCCTGATGACCGAGGGGCCGTGCTGGTGCCCGTAAGTGCCCCATACACGCTGTTCAAGGGCTGTGCTGTTACCCAGAGTAGGAGGAAGTGGGCGTTTGCCCCTTGGACGTGGCCGCTCTCGTTGGCGAGGACTCTGAGGGCTTGGGGGTCCTGGGGGTGCCCCTGCCGTCCTGACTGCCGGCTCTGTTGCAGGGATGGGCTGCCCTACTGTGAGGCCGACTATCACAGCAAGTTCGGGATCCGCTGCGATGGCTGTGAGAAGTACATCACGGGGCACGTGCTGGAGGTAAGGAGGCCAGCCTGGAGGCTGCAAGCATGACACTCGCCCGCTCTAAGTTCTTCTCTGGGCACTGGGGTCTGCCCGCCCCCTAGGAGTTAACAGAGAGGATAAGAAGGTGCCTCTCGTGGCGTCTGTGGTGTATGTTTGTGCAGGAACCCGCACCCCTGAGCCTCTTCCTCCCAGCTCTGCCAGAGGACACCTTCCAGGGTCTGCCCAGTGAGTGCCACCTCCTCCAGGAATATTTCCCTGCAACACTCTCTCACCTGTGCCCTTTACACGTTGACAGAGAGGTGGGAAGAACTTGCGATCCTGGTTCAGCCCTTTGGCATCTAGATGGGAAATCTGAGGCTTGGCGGGTTGCAAAGGGAGCCTGGGAGGCAGGGCTGGGTCCACAGAGGCGGACAGGTCACCCAGCGATTTCAGGTTGGCGCATTTCTGGGGTGCTGACAGGTGCGTTTCTTGGTCTGGGTGGTAGTTACACGGGTGTGTCCCTTTGTGAAAATAACACGTGTTATGCACTTTACTACATTTGTTCAGTAAGATCAATTCCATGGGGTGAACAGGACCAAACCCACCCCCCTGATGCTCTGGCCCAGCCTGCCCCTCCACCCCACTCTGCAGCCCCTCCTGGGCTCTGCACTGGGGCGGGTGGATGGGCCATCCCTCAACGAGCATATGGTCTGTTGGGGAGGGCAGAGGTAACCAGAGGACCTGGGGGGTGGGGAGGGGGCAGAGCAGTGGGAGAGGAGGGGCCCTGACCCAGCCAAGGGGCTTGGGAGCCTTTTCCAAGGAGGTCACAGAAGCAGCCTCTGGGGGTGGGAAGACAGGTTGGGGTCTGAGGCCGCAGGGCCCAGGCCACCCTCCCAGACAAGGGCTTCTGAACCCTGGAAAGCCTGGGTCGGATTTGCATACTAGAGAGCTCCCTCAGGCTGCCGCTGAGGCTGGACTTGAGGCCGGAGGCCGGGAGCCCAGCCGTAGCGAGCTCAGAATGCCTTGGTGAATTGCACGTTGAGCACTGAGCTGCTTTTCTTGAAATTACACTTGACATCAGAGCTGCAGGGAGAGAGTTGCCCCAGGGCCTCAGCTCCAGGTAGCGGGGAGGGGAAGGGGGTGGCCACACCCACCCAGGGGCAGTGAGGCCCTCCCCACCATCTCCCCATTTCCCAGATGCCACAGCGGGAATGGTCCCAGGCTCTGTGCAGAGCTGTGCCCTTCTACGCCCAGAGGCCCCTGCGGGGGGGGCTGTGATTACATCCTCATTGACTGTAGAGAGTTTGCAAAGCACAAATAAGGGGGGAAGTCACTGACATGCGATCATATTTAGCTGAACTTTTTGGCTGGATTCCTTCCAGTTCTTTCTCTCTCCACATGTCAGAGTTGGCATCAAACCATTTATACATTATATCCTGATTTTTTTCAACTCCCATGTCCTATTTAATAGGTCCCTGTGTTTTTGTTTTGTGTTTTATGGGTCTTTTTGTAAACAGCCTTATTGGAATATAGTTCACATACCACGCAATTCACACGTGTAAAGTGTGTGATTCGGTGGTTTTTAGTATCTTCACAGAGCTGTGCACCCATCGCCACAGTCCATTTTAGGACGTTCTCATCACCTCGAGAAGAAGCCTGTACCCCTTAGCTGTTCCTCCCCTACACCCTGAGCCCGTGGCAGCCACCAATCTACTTTGGTCTCTGTAGAGTTCCCTGTTCTGGACGCGTCATATAAATGGAATCATCCACTACGTGGGGTCCTCTGGGATTGAATCTGTCTCACAAGATAACATTTCCAGGTGCATCGCACATAAGAGTGTTTCAGTGTTGCATCGTATTTCATTGTAGGACTAGACCAGAATGTTTTAGGCTGATCATTCATTGTTGGACATAGCACCGTTTTCCACTTTTGTACTACGATAAATAACACTGAGATGAACATCTTTTTTTATTGCATTTCTAGTTTTCCTTAAGATTCATTCACAGAAGTGTAGAAACTGAGCCAACAACCATGAACTTTGTAAGGGTTCTTGACACATAAATTGCTTTCCAGAAAGTTTATTCTGATTTACATGCTTATCAACAGAGCACGATCTTTCCCATCTCCCACCCTGGGTGTAATCTTTATGAAATCCTATGTCAAGTTGATAGGGGAGAACGTGGGGCCTCGCTATTGTTTGCTTCCCTCCCACCCCTAGTTGTGCCGGGTCTTCTTTGTCATTTTTAGCCAATCAGAGTTCTTGCATTTCAGTTATCTTCCGTCAGCATCGCCTCTTTCTACACTGGGGGCTCCATGTCTTTCTGACGGAGTTGGGCGGGTGGTCACGTGATGAGACTGTTGACATCTCGCCTGCTGAACATCTTGTATGTTTTTCTGGGGTGCTGATCACGCCTCATGTTTCTACCCCCATCCTCCGAACGTGCACGAAGGATGAGTCCTGCCCCCATACCCCACGGTGACGTCTCACCTGGCCCTCCCGTCTCTCCAGGGCTCTCTCCTCACCCAGACCCTGCTGCAGACCCTGCTCTGGGGGAGTCTGGGCAGCCGCCACCTCCGGCAGCAGCACTGAGGCTTCTGGAGGATCCCCCGGCCAGGGCCCCACCTGCCGCAGTGCCTGGCAGTTCAAGCCTGTTTCTCTCTGTTCCCCCAAAAGACTGTTCCAGACCTTCCTTGCTCTCCTGGGCTGCTGCCCTCCCACCCCAGCCGGCCAGCCACAATGACCTTGTCTAAGACTTAACAGAGAGAGAGTCAGACGTCACTCAGGGCTGTCTGCGAAGCTTCTACCCCACCCGCTCCTGCCCTTCCTGACGGAGGCTCTGTCTCTCCTCCCAGCCACAGCCCCCAACCCTGTGCTCCGGTCCGAACCCCGCCTGCCTCCTCTGGAGCCTTACCCTGCCGTCTCCTTTCCTCCCTGGGGGCCGCAAGGCATCCTGCTGGTGGCTTGTCGAAACAGCTCAAGTCGCCCCCGTTTAAAGAGACTAGAAACCTGTCACCCTCACCTGTCCAGGTCCACCAGCCAGTGCACCGTCTCTTCAAGCCGCTCCCCAGAGCGCCGGCCCCTCCCGCCCTGCTTGGTACCCTCACTCTGTGGGCTCGTGTCTGTGTGTCTGGGAGAGCGCGTGCCGGGCTATCGGCCACACGCAGGGCCGAGCCCACTCGAGCCCAGGAGGCCCAGCCGGGCTCCCGGTGCCTGTTCTTGGCCCGACCGCCTGGCATCCCCCTGCGTAGATGTTGCTTTGTGCTCTGTTTCACGCCACGCTGTGATACCTGATGGCCTTAGCGGGGAGCATCTTAGGCTCCGTGGGCTGAGCAGTTGTCGCTGCAGGTGTGTGACTGTAGCCTGGCCCGCTTCCGGCACCCTTTGGGGTGGGCGGGACACGCCAGCCCCGGCCCTGGCGGCCCGGTCACCAGAACCTCCTCGGGGATCCGAGGGGTCGTGTCTGCGGAGTGTCCCCCAGCTCAGCGCCGGCCACGAGGTAGCTGGTGGGGGCTGGAGGATAAAGAGCCTCCCGGGGAAGATGAATGCTTTTGTTTTCGCCCCTGCGGGCGGCGAGCTCCGCGGTGTGTAGCAGTTGAGTCAGCGGGACCTGCACAGCTCTGAGATTCCTCCCCAGCGAGGCGGCAGCTGCGGGCAGGCGGGCGGGGACAAGCCGACTCCACAGAAGGGAGCAGCCACCGTGCTGGCACCACCTGGGCTCGGCCCAGAGCGTGCTGGCACCCAGCTGGGCGTGCAGTGGGCTCTTGAGGGGCGGCAGGTGGCAGGGGACAGGACCTGAAAAAGAAAGAGAAGGATCCAGACCGCTGGCTGGAGGGTGAGGGCATCTCTGTGCCCCCGCTCTCTGCCCCTGTCCTCACGGTCACACTGCCTGTTCCTGCTAGCCTGTCCCGGGAGCGGGGCTAGACAGGGGCCGAGGGGCCGACTGCTCCGACTGGGCTGTGGTGCCCGGACCCCGTGCAGGTAGGAAGCTCTCTGGGCCGATGGGGAGGCCAAACTGGCGGCAGGTGGGTGGGATTGCAGGGAGCGGGGCAGATCAGCCAGGTGCAAGGCCCCCAAGGCACCTGCCACCCCACCCGGCTTTGCCTCCTAAGGTGTTTCCTCTCTGCAGCCTGAGTAGGGGAGCAGCCCGGGCCTCTTCCCCGCCCGTGCGGGAGCCCTCAATCTGTGTCGCGTCTGCATGCACCGGGCCCGGTGCCATCTTATGCTGGGCGCCCGCCCGTGAAATGTGCATTTGGTGGTAGTGCAGTTCCCCTCACTCCCTCTGTCACTCTAAATATTTAACATCCTCCACTGCATGTTGTCTCGCATCCTGAGTGTCTGGGGTGTCTGTCCTGATGAGCCAGCTCCATGCCGGGTCTGGGTGTGGGAGCGTCCTGGGTCCGGTGGGGACCTGGGAGGGGCTGACACAAGCCCCCTCCCCGTCGCGGGGTTGGCTGGCTGGCTGGGGCGGGGGAGGGGGGGTGGGGGGGGCAGGGCAAGGAGCAGAGGTAGGGGGCTGGGAGCAGCCCTGCTGCAGTGCTGGCTCCTGGGGATGGAGTCTCTCCACAGAGAGAGCTGGAAGGTGGCTTTGCATTGCCAGGGGACGGTGGTCTAAGGAGATCAACCAGCCCAGGGCTGGACGAGCGGAGGGGGTGTTGAGTGAGAGGGGGTCCCTGGCTGAGTCCCTGCCATCACGTTGTTCTCTACTGGTTCTCACAGTGTTAGCAGGAACAGGTGGGCGGGGGCGGGGAATGGGGTGCGTCTTGGCCAGCCCCATCCTCCTTATAACCCTGGCGGGGCCTCTGTCTGAGCCCCACCTGCCTCCTGCAGCCTGGCTGTCTCCATGGTAACGAGAAGCCCAGGGTCCCCCTGGGACCACTAATTAATCCCTCCCTCCCTTTGTTCCTTCCTCTGTGCTTCCCTCCCTCCCTCCCTCCTTCTTCCCTTCCTTCCCTTCTCCATCCACTACTCACCTTCCTGAAGGCTCACTGTGTCCCAGCCTGGCCTGGGGGCGGAGTTCCCGTGAGGACGGAGGCA